AAAAAAAAAAAAAATACACACACACCCATGAGTAGTCATAGAGGATAACCTCACAATACTTCGCTTAGCCGTGATGAAATAGATCCACGCTTTCTGAGGACCCCGAAGCCTAAACCCTCAACCCCAGAGCCTGAACCAATGAACTCTTCTGACTGTAAACCCCTCGAACTCCAGAAGGCTCTCAACCCCGAAGCGTCGTATTCATGATCATTGAGGCGCTGGCCCCCGGCCTGCAAAGGGAAATGCAGCGGCTTACACAGATACCCGCTTTGGGTGCAAGTGTATTTTTGGGCTTTGGGGTTCAGGGGCTCAAGGTTCTGTGCATTACAGATTTTGAGCGTTTAGAACGAAAGGGTTTAGGGCTTCGGGCTTCGCAGCATTAATAGACATAGGCTTACTGAGTACTGGCTCAGATCCACTGGCAAACCGCTACTGCTTGAAGGGACTATTGCAGAATGTTGCTTTTGACTTTGGATCCCATCATCCCACTTAGTATGGCGACTGAAGGTTTCGGGCCGCGCTTTAAGGCTTTGGAGCTCAACAGTTCAGGTATTCAACAGACTACGGCAAGATGGAAACGAAACGGAGGTCCCCCTTTACTGCATTTAGCCGTTGAAGAACATATGCTTGAGCAAAACAGCTTGACTACCAGTGAACATGACTTTGCCAAAGTGCTTCCTTTCAAGCTTCTTAGTTTCAGAGCGGAGGATTTCAGCCATCTGGCTGCCGAGAGTCCAACGACAGACGTGTGCAGCATGGCGAACAACTAGAGAGAATGTATCACTGCAACGTGTAGTCGAAACAGGTCAGAGCTGTGAGCGAATCATGTTGTGATGCAGGCTATGGACAATTCATGAAGCCATGGTACGCGGAGGTGAGAATGTTTCGCGCTGACAGACTTTCAATGTGCATGGACTCTGTTGCCAGACATAGGCGCTCATCAAGATACCGTACCGAAACCAAGAACGAAGAGTTCTGAAACATGTAGTGTCCTTGCCAATTTTTGCAAGCATCTGCGGGTTCGTGCCAGGTACTTGGAAATGGATCGCTGTCTTTCATGGTGCCTCTTCTGTGGACCTAGCCTAGCGTGCTACTAACGCAAGTCCCTTGTCGCATCTTGAGCATACAAGTGTTCCCATCTCTTGGATTTCCACCTGAAAACCAAGCCAAGGAAATGCATCCTTTGTTAGCTTCGGTCTAATATCCTTAGACTGACTTCGTGTCGAAACAAAGTAAAGAAGTATGTTGAATGTCTTGGACCTTATACGGAATCTAAGAAGAGGGATGCTTGGACTAAGTATGAAGACAAACAGAGGGCACAAGCCCTAAGCCCTGACCGTGCCTGGAAGAATTTCCGCAGCGAGAAGCACAATCCAAAAGTCCCATCACGAAAGGCCGTTGCGACGACGCCTCAGCAGGTTCGGGGCTTCAGGTCATCCCAGACTCCCAGGACACGACACGTGAAAGAACACTTCGCCCACATACAAAGCCAGACATCCCCTCTAGCAACAGTAAGGCATCAGGGGTCTGCCTGCGCCCACTCTTCGTATCCTACAAGCTGAGTTGCGCCTAGCAAACAGCCACGCAAACAATGCAAATTTCGCTGTAGATCATAGACCCCAAGCCCTAACTAGTCCAGGAAGGACTGCCCAAATGCCCAGCCTCGAAGGAACACCATAGGCCCTACCTTCCTCAACATTCGCATCGCCTCAGCGAGACTCTGTGTTTCTTGCACAAGAAAAGTGGGTCGTACGCTATAGGAGGACCATGCATGCCCAGATAACATACGGCAATTGCAGGCTTTCAAGTATGTGCTCGCGAATAACTTCCTCAACAGCCAGTCAGCACGCGGATGTCATTCTAGACCAGTTCTCCTTACTGGCAGTGAGCACGCGGCTGTCTGTGTGAAGGATCGTCTCATGTCATCCTCCTTCCACATCTGGTACCTACGCACCAGCTTTTGAGCTTGCGATGGAGATGTATAGGGATGTAAGGTGTCAGGATGTACAATTCAACAGTGTCCAGGGTAGCTTCCTGCTACCAACAGGCAGCACTGAAGCCTTCGAAAGCCGCTTCGGATTATCCCACCCACTTGCCAGCTCAGGTCATGGGGCGGGAGTAGGCAGCTTATGAAAAAGCATTGAATGTATCAAGGTCATACTGAACCCCGGATGTCCTCTAAGTCCCAGAGACTTGTCGGTCAGGAGCGCACTTCACGTAGCTCAAAGGATTCAGCAGGACACCGCACAGGACTCCTCCTGCCTCAGAAGACAAGGATGCTGAATCGAGGTAGCTTCGCGACAAATCTCGCAAGACAAACGTATTCTTTTACTGGAAGTACTCTCTCCTGATAATCCCGTCTCTGCCCGGAGTCGCCTGACCGCCCAGAGCTTGGGAGCCAGTAGCTCGGACGCACATCTCCTGGCAGGCAAGAACAAAAAAGGCTGAAGGTACAACACATGCTCGAAAACAGGATCTCATGCCCATGTTGCAGACCCGAATTCTGTCTCCATGATGCAGACATACAAGATTCATGGAGGGACACACAAAAGGCGCCTCTAGAGGAAAGTAGATGCCTGTGGACAAGGACCGTTGGGTCAGCGTTTGCGTGATGCCTGGGACTGCCAAGGAAATTTCTACCGGACCTCGACAAGCAGTCTGTGGCGAGGTTGCTGGCTTTGCTGGTCAACGCGGAAGAAGTTTGTGGCACACCAGCAGAAGTAAGAGGTATAAGTATAATGACAGGGTGGCAAACCATTCACCCAAAGAACGAGGATTCCTGAAATATGTTTGACTTACAGACAAGACACCTTCGAATCCCTCAGAAAAGTTACTCGATGCTGGCTAGGGGCCTCGATATGGCTCTCGCCAGTTGGCCCTGACATGCATCAGTAAGCTGACTGAGCTGGGCTTGGGCCTTAGGGCTGAGGATCTGCGGCTTTAGGCAGTGCTTCAAGTTGCCGGTGGGGGGGTGAGGATCTCCCTGACAATTGATGCCTGCTGAAGAATGGCCGATGGTTCACAATCGCCAGGTAGAGGGCTCGGTCCTGGGTGCCAGGGAAATGCGCTTCCAAGAATGAAAAACTACCTGGTACTCATCACGAAGGGCTATTTCGTCCCTCTACTCTGGAGGACAGTAAGCCAACGAAACGCTCTTACACTCAAAAGAATGAAAATTCAGCAGAGCTTCCCAGGGGTTCAGCAATGCCGTGGTGAAGAAACCGGCTGCGATGCCACATCGAAATGAGGCCGCATGCCTGTACAAACGATCTCCGGAATGGATCCATAAGGCCATAGTGCGCATGGCTCGCTTTTGTCGTGGGGGGGGGGTTCCGGGCGGTTGTCTGGGTTCCGTACAGGTTTGCGAGGGGCCGAGATGGAGGTTCCCCCTAAACTCCAGGCCGAAAACACGGGGAGGGCGGAGGGGGCCGGGCACCCTGCTCTGTGCTCTCACCTCTCAACACCTTTGCCGAGGCGGTCTCACGTTAGCGGTTAACTTACAGGAAACACGACAAACAACAAGGACCCTCATCCAAGTTGAGCTCTTTCCAGGGGATTTGTGCTGTTGCTGGTCGGGACTCAGGCATATCAAGCAAGATTTTCCAAGCAACGGGGTCCTCCGGCACATGGACACAAGACACAACTGCCTGCCCAATTTCCAGGAATGGCCCGCACACACTCACAAAACTTGGGGTTCTATCATTTCCCGCACCCTTGTTGCAGTCTCACGCTATGACTCATCCCATTTCCACCAATCTCGCATGGTGGTCCTGCAATTTAAACTTCTCAAGGATCACTAGCATCGAACAATTCATTGCCATAAGCCACCAGTCACAGCGCGAAGAGCATCACCAAGTTAAGAGTGACAGTAGAAGTACCGACAGGTGCAAGACTCTAAACTGTTCAGTGATCTGCTCAGCAGCAGAGGCTTCTGATCCGAAATGAAACTTCCCAAGCCCTGTTTGGTCTTCTGAGGCCTGCATATGTCCGAAGCCTGAGCCCAAATCCTGACTACCCCCCCTTTCCATGGAATCGCATCGGCTCAGCCGCTGGCACTTCGTTTCCGGAAGTAGTGGAAGCCATCGCTCGCCATGTGAACAAACTTGTTTGTCGTTGGAGGGCCAAAGGGTGGCTGATTCTGTCAAGAATGTGCTTCCAGGTGTAGAATAGAGATTGAAGTTCGAGGCTGAGGATCTAAATGATTGCATCGTTCAAAGATCAACGCCGAGGACTTTTGTTTGGAAATTCGGTACTGGGCCTTTGCCGGCTGTCTGCCCCAATCTACAGTGACTTGCGTGATGGCTACAAAGCCTTGCGCATTTGATGGACAGGCAGCTCTTTGCAGGTGCTGCTGTCTGCCTAGTGTCTTTGCATTTGTCTGGCTGTGACCAGCTGAAGTCGAAAGCGCGACCCAACCACGACTAGTGGACCAGGCCCAGGGCCCAGGGCCCAGGGCACCATCCCACTTCGCGTGAAGACATGCTAAAAAAGAAGGAATGGAATCATCAGTCCTCTGCGGAAGGCAAGCCCGCTTTCTCAGGAGAGTCCTGCTTTCCAAGTTGGGCTGTGACAAGTGTTCGGGCTGAAGGCCTAGGCTAGGGTCTCTAACGTTGAATCTAGTTAGTGTGGGTGTACTGAATTGTGCGCAGCCTGCTCGAAATTATTCAACACGCCAAGAATAACTTGCAGGTGCTTGTTTGAGCAAAATTCCGCGGTCCGAAATATTTTTGGGCAAGCCTTCTCTTCGTGGTCGCAATGATTTCTAATGAAAACTGCGACCCCACCCTGCCTTGTTTGAGGTTGAGAGCGTTTTCCAGGATCTCTAGATCAGGGGCGGGGACAAGGCCGATGTCATGCCACTGGCATCAACACCTGGTGCTGACATTTCGAAAGCCGGAGGGCCAGCATCATGAGCATCAGCATGTGCTCTTTGAGGGGCTTCGGGGCCACATCTCCCAAGCACATGGCCAACCCCAAACCAGCACACTGGTGCACAGCTCTTAATCTCAGGCTTCCTGTAAATGTTTAAAACGGCACATGCAGCAGCCTTATGAACTCCAGAACCTGTCATACTCCAGCTGCTGGTCCTCTTTCGTATTCATTCAAGCCCTGCAACGCCCCATGAGCATCTAGCCCTGTACTTCACCATTTGTAAACCCGGCACCCTCAGCAAACACCCAGGCCTTCATCGTAGCCAGGGCGAGAAGCCCTGCTAGGATGGCAATCACGCCTGGGCCCATCATGCCCGCACGCCAGCCAAACCTCACAAGTGGTTTAAGGCTTTGGGCTGGGTTGGGCTGGGGGGGCCATGTCAAGGCGCCAAGTTTCAAGGCACATACAAGCTGTGCCCTTCGCTACCTGTAGACTGCCATGAGCTCCTGGAAACTTTCCCATGTTGGATTTCCCAAATACAGTTCATACTGTCAATACCGAGACAAGACTATCGGCAGCTATGAACAACTTCAATGCTTCAGTTCAACATAGTAATCTTGATAATCTTGACAGCCATGAAAACATCAGAGGCTTTGAACTGCACACCCTAAAGGCCTCGGCCCTAAAACCTGGCAACTGCAGCCCTTGAGCTCAACGCCTTGCGGCCAGGCCACCTCGGTTTCTGGGGCTCAGGATTTCAATGCTTATACTTGTTGGTCCACTCTCCGACCGACATGGATGCTCTATGCCTGCATTTTGCTTTGGACTGACAATGCCCCAAACGATAGGGAACCTCATAACATTACCCATGAAGTTTAGAAGCCCCCACAGTCTGTGCAAGTGCCAGGCCTGCTAAAAGGGGTATCAGGAAGCCGCCGATGTTGTGAGACCTTTCACCAACACTTCCATGCTCGATTGTTGTTTGGTTGTAAATCCCCTGCATCCTAGACCCAAACTTGAACCTTCAATCGTGATCTGCCGTCGTACTGTTGTTCGTCTTAGAGGACGCTGCGGTAGAACATTGAGAAGGGCGTCTGTGAGAAAGGTACACTGGCAGCACTGGCAATGGAGCTTGAAATCCAAATGATAATAACACTGCTTGTATGGCATTTGGGCAGAGCCGGAGAAGTAGTTCAGAAGCCTTCGGCGGTTCCTCTGCAGGGAGGCCCATAAAGAAGGATTTCCAACCAAGTGCTCCATACGCTGTCAGGAGGCCGCCTTAGAGTTGGAGGCCAAGAAACCTAATGAATGTTGCAGGCTGCTCCCCAAGATAAAAGGCCCACGTACCTCCTGCTGCCCAACCGCCAGAAATGCGGATCACAAGTGGCCGGAGCCTTGGTTGCGTTATGTTGCGTTAAGGGCCGAGCGCGTTCCAGCTGCTCCACCACTTCCCACGACTTCGGGCCTCCAAGGCCAAGAAGTCCACACTTACAAGGCGCCGCAGAAGTGTTTGTAGCGGAATCCCGGCTGATGGTCGTGGGCAAAGCACTGCCCCTGCTACAAGTAATACTTATGGGAGCATCTGTGTTTATACTCGGGTCATTGCCCTTATGACGAGCATTGTCGCTGCCCCGATGATTACCACTATGAATGTGATGAATAAGGCCTGGGCGGTTCTCGGATTGAATTGGGTATTCAGTATGGCGAGGCGAAGAACCCCGACGCGTAGCTTTTCAACATAAAAATTGAGATCGTTGCAGTATGATGGAAGGAGCTTGTAGTACCCTCAGTGAGTAATCAGTCCACACTGCTCACGCAAAGCATCATGTTGATCATCAAGGTCTGATCCCTTTCAAGCTCGGACTAAGCTGATTCTGAGGTGCCAGGCGGGAAACCAGTTGACCAGCATCTTGTTGCAGGGTGTCGCACCACAGCCCTGCAAAGTCCATCTCAGCAGGGATTGCGAGAATGCAGATCAAACAAGAAAATCGGAAAATACACATCTAAAAAGATGTTACGATCTCAAGCATGGCGTGGCGGCATGGCGTTCATCTGCTTTCCTGCTCTGCGCCCGTAACTTACCCAGAGGCGAGTTCAACCAAGATTTTAGCCAGCTTTTCAGCCGAAGACTCCTGCCTGGAAGAGGCCGTTGAGCAGCCAGATCCCTGTGAAGAGGGGGACCTTTGGAAGCACGGGTGGCTTTGGGGGCGGGTGGGTGGTTCTGGTTCCGGAAGCGCATTAGGAGCTTCAACTTGGGCGTGCGCCGTACTGGCAAAGGAGAAGGCGATGTTCAGGAAACCGGTGAGCATCAGCCCCAGGGAGAAGATCAGCACCTAGGTCTAGGGCTTGAGATGGCAGAGTCTCAGGACCGCAGAGGCATTGACAATGGTATAATATCCACTCCTTGTCAATTCAGCCCCTGTATCCATGGTAATCCCAATTCCAACTGGCATCCGGCAATGGTAGTGAATACTCTTCACAGCGAAGAGAACGAAGATGGATCCACTTACAATACAAATGCTGGCTTGAAGTCATCATGAAAGCTGCAACAAACAGCAACCCCAGCAAACCCCTCTTCCAACTCAAAATGCTAAACCATGCCAAGGTGCGGGAGATCCCAGCAAATCGGAGAGCACCCCCGACCTGAGTACCCATGCATGCTGGTGGGTCAAGGCTTGGGCGGCACGCAGATCATGAGGGCTCTCTGTGTGTTAGAGTCTTGAGGGGCTAACAAACGGACTGATGATAATGAGATGTCTGGAAGTGTCTACGTACAGTCAGGAAGACAAAGCACAGCCTTCGGCTTCAGGAAAATGCATTCAGAGGAGTAAAATGAACGCTGTCAACATGCCTGCATCAAAGAGACTGCTCTAGGCTCAGTTTGGAACAAACACCCCGAACCTTAAAACTCAGAACCAGCATCCGATATGCGCTGACAGGCCTGGGGTACCCCACAGGAACTTGGAGTTCATGTAGGCCTGGCCGCTGAGAATCCCATCAACTACGCCTGGAATCTTCATGAAGACTTGAAAATGCTTTTGACTGACACCCTTTCAAGAAACTTGTCTTCGCAAGAAGCCAGGGTGACCAGCGGAAACAAGGAGCTGATTGTGCCCAACCTTGGGAGGGGCAAAGCTTCTGCGGGAGCCCTCTAAATCTAGGCGTGGTTCCAAAAACGTTTTTCAATGTTATCCTGTTCGTCATCGTTGCAGTCGTAGTCGTGAATGTAGTCGTGTTGGCAATGGCACTGGTCTCGGGAGCTGAAGTGGAAGTGAAGATGAGAGTGGGAGTAGTACGGTAAGTAATTCTACGAGGATGTCGAGATCTGCTCAGCTCCCGGCTGAATCATGCTAAGTCCCAGGTCTTGCCGCATGGCCAAACCTCGTAACGCTCTTCCCACAAAATACAATGCTACGAGGATTGACACTGCGACTCAGACTCAGCACTGAGGTTTCCGCCCACGTAGGTGAAAGACAGTCGAGTGAAGTAATAAACAGCATAGCCCAGTACCTCACAGAGCTTGCCTCTGCCTCAAAGCGACTGAGACTCAGACAATACGCACCAGAGTCGTATTATGCATTGCGCAATTGCAGCAATAGGAAGGAGGGGAATACTTCTGGAGTCTCATGGCTATATTGCGGCAATGTAATCACAGGAGACCGCTGATGCTCATGATGTTGATCGTCGGCGCTCAGAATATCAGCACCAGGTGCTGAGGTTGAGTCTGTCACGTGCACGATTCTATGGGGGCCAATGTCAACGCGTGAAACCATCGAGAATAAAACCACTGACAGTTTCTACCTCCAAAGTGCCTTTAAGAATAAGCGTACGTGGCAACAGGGCGCACCATGCCCGCAAAGGTCACCTGGCCGGAGTCAACAAAACAATCCACGCCAGCACAGAGAGTGGCAACAAGAGCATCGAAAGTAGAACTTTGCGGTTGCATCAACAGCCAGTCCTCAGCACAACACCCAAAATCTAGGAACACCATACCTGAACGTAAAAGCCTGCAACTTCAATCCCTGTTAGGGCATTTACGAAGCGCTTCCAAGTGGCGAGGCGCGTCCTCTGAAACCGGCCGTCGAGCGGGCCTCAGGCGATGGGGGATCCTGATGCTGCTATGCAGCTTTCATGGTTGCTACAAATGCTACTCGTATGCAGGGTGTTATGGTGAACATTGCTATTTTCTGCAGTCTTCTGAAACATCCCTAAAGTGCCATCATGCCGGTAAATGCTCTTGCCACTTGTTGCTACTTCCACTCAGATTAGTGGTTGCAAAGAGTAAGTGATAGAAAGCCTGTATGGACTATCTATCGCACAGTTTGGCAGTCTTATGTTGGATGGGCCGTGTTTGCACTGATGAGCCAAAATGATGCTAATTAGCTGCGCATCTCTGCTTTCCTGGCCTTCTTCGGTCCCGCAACCGCACCGTGGTGCACGCGCACCGAAACGGCAGGACGCATACACCAAAAATCCTTGCAAGGGCAGGTATGAAATTGTAACATATCCTCGAGACTCTCAGCGTTCACATATGCAGAGTCAGAGAAGTATGGGCAACAGTTGATGTAGCGATGTTCTGGTCCGAAATCACCTGAAAATGGCCGGGTTCTTTCCAAGGAGTCATACTACAATCATTACCAACTGTTACTAGGTTACTATGATTTCCATGCCCGTACTCTTACTCGTCAGACACAATGCTTAACAGGATGCCCAGGCCTGAACTTACCGCGGGCCCGACTCTGGACCTGCAGAGCTGCTTCCAAGCATCCGCTCGAAACACTACAGATCGTTATTCGTGACAATTATTCCTATTGCGGATGCGGCGGCAGCAGCTTTGTTCCACATCCAAAGACGACGAGAGAAGCAGTGCATGAGGCGTCAAATGCCGCTTCAATGACTCCTCCTGCTGCTGCTCTCTAGCCAGAAGCCCTGACTCTTCCTAATTCAAGAGCTCCAGCCTGTGCAGCCATCCTGCAGCGGGAGCTGTGGGGGCTGTCGGATGTCTTGCGCTCCGGGCAAGAGATGCCCTGGGAGCCGTGGGAGCCCTTACCTGCTGTAAACAATCTTGAAGCTCAGGAGCTTTAGGCTTTAGGGTTCAGGAATCACCCATTAAAAATGGAGGATAGTACTAGTCATTGAATAAATACAAATGAGATTCAACACGCAGGGTAGGCATTATTTCGCTAATGGCAATGCTAAGTACCAACCTGTAGGCATCATACACAGCTTATGCTGTAGGGCACAGGATTAGCAATCTCATGCCCGAGTAGCTCACTGAGAAACAGTGTTCTTCCTCATGTTGTGTGCACTGTTCTAGACTTAGCCTGCTTTACTGCAGTGACATATTATCACCGCCACCTGTGCAGATTGAATAGGCTGCTCCCCTGCTTCTGCTGCAACCAGAACCTAGTCGCCACAGCTGTTGGCACAACGGGTTCGGCCAGTGCCTCCCGCTCTGCGGCCGGCTGCGGCCGGCGCCTACTAGCAGCGAAGTTTGTGCACCTTGGGGGTCCAACAGTCCCAAGTCATGGGCAGTATAGTTACAAAGCATGAACATCATAGCAAAGACTGTGAGGATGTCTTGGGCATTAGATGGGAGGATGCCGGAACAACGCAGTGAAGCTTGAAGTGCAGCGGATTTACCTGGACCTCGTCGTGCTTCACAGAGCACTGGAGCACATGCCGTGGTCTCCTTATGAAAGATCCTGGACACAAGTTCCTCGCTGAAGAAATCTCCCGCAAGTAACTCTTCTCTGAGACATTCCACACGACCTTTTATTGGGACATCCCCGAAGACTTTGGGTTCAGCTCGAACTGGAAAATGCTGTGCTGCTCCCGGATACGACTCCGCAATCTCCTCAGAAACTTTTCCAGAGGTATCCAGGCTGGATGCGCGATGGTGCAAGCATTGAGTGCGACCAATACCTAGCAGGACGAAAAAGAGGCTGGAAGATCTGAGTTTACGGGGGAAAATAGAATCATGTTAGGCTGTTTGAATTGGTCCGAAACCGTGCAAGTGTTGGTGAGAGGAACGGCAATAAGAATACTTTCTGCAAAATGTAAAACCAAGAAAACCAATTGGGTTCATAGTTGCTGTCAAACGAAGCTACAAGCCCAAAAGCTTTCATAGCAGAATACTAGACGGACATGAGCCCAATACTTTCGCTCCCATACCATGCTCAGAAAATTACCAGAAGGCGCTTAAACTAAAGTCCTACATGCTCTCGTAATGCAATTCTACAAGAAAACAGTCCTCTCCCCAAATCGGAAAGGGGTGGCTAGTGAGAGCCGACCAGCCTTCACTCGCCTATGGTGAGCGGCCGGCGCCATGAGAACATTCAGCTAAAGACTTTGAGCTGAAATGTCTGGAAAAAAACAATGTCAGCACTTGTATCCCAATAACAAGAAAACAGCAGAACAGGCGCTGGAATCAAACGAAGAACGCTGGCCGTGCTGACGAGCAACAACTATCCCAAGACAAAACATACCACAAACAACAGAAACTTGTGCTTTCGTTTTCGAGCAGGACTCGCGTCTCTGAAATCCACCGGATGCCACAAATGTCGGCTCATCATGCTGCACTCGCACATCTTATGTGAGTACCAGCACATGGTGAAAACACGGGAAGGCTAAGACTTACAGAGGTGACCTTGCAGTAGCAAGCCCAGAGCAACCACGCCCGTGAGAGCAAGCATTGGCCGAATTCGACAGCGCCGGGCATGCTTGGAAGCTGGGCATTTGGTAGTTGTGTAACCCGAACCTCAAAACCCCACAAAGAACCCATTCGGGGTTTCGCTCCTCTTTTGCCGAGCTTCAAAGCCGGAAGATTTGGGCACCAGCGGCTCAAGGGAGCCTGGCCAAGTCGCTCAAGTTGCCAAGAGGCCCCCTTCCCCCGTTACCCGCACCAGAAATCACATACTGACTCTTCTCCACTCTTCCGATCATTGACTCTGGCTATGATCTGCTTTAAGTTCCAAAGTGGGTTTTGAGAGGCTCCTGATGAGGTTGCCTTTCTTGCCGGATGCAGATGATCGGATCCCTCCACGGTGAACAGGTTAGAGAAACGGTACCGGCTACTTCTTGGATGTTCTTGAACAAAGATTTGGATATTATGGTGCATATGAGGCCAGACAAGCGGAAACACCTTCATGGAAAATCCACTTTCTCAAACCATGGGAGCTGCTCCGAGCCTGGACTGCAGTGGCCGCGGGCTTTGTCCTTGGCAGGTCGTTGAAAGTAAGTCCAGGCACATCTCCACATTGACTCTATCCAAAATACTACCAGACAGACACTGACTGTCAAAATACTT